ATTTTGATATACGTTTGGTACGGTATCAAAAAGTATTTTTTTGGTATCTTATTGCACAAAAAATATTAATTATTTGAAAATTTTGGAAGTCGGTTTACAATATAGACTTGTTTGGACTTAAATTCGCAAAAGAAACTTATTTGTTATAACATCTATTTTTTGTCAATTTTATCAGACTATCACTTCCCTTTAGAAGTGAAATAAAATTAAAAATTAAATAATTCTAAATTTTTTATTAAAATTTACGAGTTTAAATATATATATATATATATATATATATATATATATATATATATATATATTAAAAATAAAAAATAGTAACATTTAAATACAAAAAAAATATCATTTAAATATAAAAAATAATATCATTTAAACACAAAAAATAGTAACATTTAAACATAAAAAAATAGTAACATTCAATATTAATATTTTAGAAAAATAACAATAGTAATATGTTCAACAAAAATATTAACATGTATAATAAAAATATTAACATACTTAACAAAAACAGTAACATGTTCAACCCAAAAAAAATAGTAGTATGGAACATTAAATAAAATTGAAAATAAAAATAATAGCATTCAAACTCATTGAAGAAGCCTCCAATTCTTTAGTATCCAAAAAAGTAACACTTAAAAAGTAATAATATGCTCAATGAATAATAGTAACATGAAACGAAAAATAGTAACATGGTTAATTAGAAAAAATAGTAACATAGTTAACAAAAAACGTAGTAACATAAAACATTAAAAACAATTAGAGATTACTATCCAAAAAAATAAAAATAAATTTGGGGATCAAACTAATAAATCATTGAACAAGTTTTTCAACTTTTTTTTTCCAAAAACCAACGATATAAAAGTTTATGATGACCAGAACACAATAGAAGATATGATAGTTGTTGTTGATGTTTCAAACCCTACTGATTTTGATGTTGTAGAGGAAGAAATGATATCTGAGGATAAAAGAATTTGTTGTATTGGAGTGATGATCTTTTTTTAAAGCGAGAAAGAAAGAGAGAGAGAACAAATTTGAATTTCAATTTATGAGTGAATTAAGGGATAATAATTTCTAATTTAAGAAATTAATTTAAAGTTATTTTCAAGGTCATTAAGGTTTCTATAATTGTTAAGGGTATTTTTCGGATTTAAAAAAATTGTGGACTTAAGTATTTATTAATAAGATAAAAAACTAACTTATTACCAAAAAAGTTTTTTTAACGGACTCAAATCATTATAAGTCTATCTAAGAGGACTCAACTCCAATTTTTACTAATTTTTTAGGCTAAGTTACAAGTTTTTAGAAGTGAATTTACAATTTTTTTTGAGTGTTTGAAATCGATCTCAGTATTTTATGATTGATCCCAAACACTCAAATGTTGCAACTTCACCCAAAAATAGTGTGCCTTGACGCTGCAATGATGCTTACTTTCTTGTTATAATTTGAACTCAAAAATTATATTTTATGCTGAAAAAAAGATAAATTTTGGAATCAAAAACAAATCCGAAGACAACCAGGCTAAAGATAATTTTGGACAAAAAGAGGCAATTCCATGAATGAGGCTCTTATTATTGCATGGGTTAGGGAAGATTATATTTGATGGTGTGTATTGCACAATTGAACAGAAACTTGTGCTCTCTTGGAATCGGTGGATTATTGAATGACTCAGTCGGAGCTCAGAGGCTCTCAAGATTTGGACAAGGGAAATGAGGGATTGTACACAGAAAATTTATAATGGTTCACTAGTTCGAGAGCTCAATTAATCCACTGTCAAGAGAGTCTCCTGCTCTTGAGGATAATTTGACTGATAGAAAGGGAGATTACACAGAGTAATTACTTAGGCTAATTGCTTGTTGAGCATTGTAAGGAGCATGCCTGACGGTTGCGACTTCCTTGCCAAAATATAAGAGTGTTACGATTAGTGTGTAGCGCTTGGGTGGAAACTAGCTGCCATCCTCGTTGTTCTTATGGGGGTGCCATTGTTGGGAGAGATGTTCCGAATAGAATGCTCAAACTAAATTCTCGAGCTCAATTTTAGGCATATTTTGGGTATCATTATTATTAATTTATACATTTTTATCCTACGTACATAGAGATTTTTTTTTTTTTATAAACTTAAACCCGTAACATCCAATTCACAATAAAACAATCTTACGTTAAACCAATATTTGAGCTCACACAGCTTGTTGCAAAGGTATCATTTGTACCTTTCTTTCTTTTTTTTCTTTTCTTTTCTTTTTTGGTTCGTTTTAATTACAATTACCAATTTTTTTCTCTTCAAAATGCTCTTGACCATGGCCTGTGGCATCCGGCGGCGGAATCGTGTTGAATTTCTAAATAACTGAGCGATTGCTAAGCAGCCACAATGACGCAGTAAGAGCAGATAATATATACATAGGAATACTTTTCTAGAGAATGTGTCTTATTGATATTTTTTAATATCTGCAAATAAATTCGTTGGGAAGTTTCAAACTCATGTCTAACAAAACATCAATGAGGGCATTTTTTTTTTTCCTGATTTAAGTAATGACACCCAACCCCGAAGATGGCCACCACCAATGAAGAGCCGAGCTCAACCCAAGGTCGGGTTTATCATTATGTCATCAAAGCAATCAGTTTAGACATCACTTTTTATAAAAATTACATGTTTTTATATATTTTTATAACATAGTCGGGATCTAAAAGTCTAAACCCATAGGTAAGCCTAGACCAACAAGACGAAAAAACAAAAGAAAACACTCTACTTAATGCATTATTTGAAGAATATTATTTACAATACAGGTAACAGTCACTTTTGTAGATTTTTTTTAAAAAAAAAAATTAAATTTAATACAATCTTATCTCAGATTGACCAAGTAAATGCATATAGGCATAACATTGGAATATAGAAACTACAAATACAAAAATATGTTAGAATAAAATACTTTCATTTAGAATGGTTCAAGTTGTCTTTGAGCCGACCAGAACTTCATTATTGAAGAGCTTTTTTTTTTTTTTTTTCTTTTCCTGCAGTGCATCGAAGTTGTTGTCTGAAAGGCTCAGCCAGTGCGCATGACGTGGAATTGAGCAGTCAATATCGCAATAGTGTGAGCCATGAGTTGACTTTCAATGGCAGTGATTCAATAATCGAAGTGGTGCAATAATAATAATAATAATAATATAACCAAAATAAACAATCGAATAAATAAACGGGCAATGCTTCCCCCCACGTAAAACTTGTAGGAGAGATCATTTTTAATACTTTTTTTTTATCTTATAAATATAGATAGCTGATCATCATATATAAGTGGAAAATTGTATTCGATCGTATCTAGATTTTTGGTTAGAAAGTTCAGACTTGGAAGGCTAATAGAATGATAGTTTATTAACTCAAGATAAAAAAGAACAAATTTATTTCAAATTTTTTAATCATAAAGATAATTTGGCTAAGATTATTTTAGACACAAAAAGGGCTATCCAATGCCTTATTAACTGTGATTTAGATGTTATGTTTAAGTTACTAATTTTTAAAGTTGAATCTAAAAAAAGATAATAAAATAGTTGCTTGACACCCCTAATAAAAATACAATTTTACTGAAAATCACCAACCAGGGTTGACCTTCTCATGAAATTTGTGCACTCTTGCGAATCCAGTACCCCATTTTTGACGAACTCTTTTCAGTAATTTTCCAATGGGGTGGGCAAAACAAGACAATGGCGGACCTTTTTACAAAGGGTACGGGATAAAGCCAAGCGCGGGCGGATCTAATAAGGCCAGGGGCTGTGCTCCACTCTCATTTTAATTTTAATTTTTTTTGATATATATAGGTGGGTTTTTTCATTTTATAAATCTTTAAATATCAAATATAATATAATAAATTAAAATATAGTATTTATTTTTAATTTTGCCTCCACCCCAAGCCACCGAGGTGACTTAGCATAATAAATCTCTATCGGATTAATGAACAGCCAACTGGACAGACCGACAAATCGGTTCTGGCTATTAGCATAAGATTCTCTATCGAAGGCAGATAATGATTTACACCATTGAGACTTTTGGCCGGTACAAAAAGAACTTTTATCATTTGCCATCCTAACAAATAAGGAGTTGTCTAGGTATCAAAAAATAATTATATTATGTCGACATTTGTCATTTTTTTTTTGAATATTTTTATCATTCGTAGGTGTAAAAAGTGATAAAAATAATTAACACTTACAAAAAATAATAAATTTTTTTTACTAAAAAAATACACACAAGGCTCACAAGTCTCTCTGGTATATGCAAGGGCTCATCTGTGAATGAATCCCTTGACTTTCTTCCTCTTCTCCTCCCCCAGTCTGGTCTCCTTCTTCTCATAAAAAAATAAAATATAGAGGTCTGATACCAAATATTTTTTTTTACCTATCATAATCGAAGTCCCATAAATAAAGGACCAAACAAGCTAAGTGTTGCAGAACAAGTGAGAGAGAGAGAAAGAGAGAGAGATGGAGCTAGAAATCATCACCATTATCAAATCATACATGGAGGGAGAGATCAACAACTGTATCAAGGTATATCTTTTAGCCTGTGTGTCTTTATTCTACTGCTATGTTGCAGGCAAGATTGTCCCCAAAGGAAAGCTCAGACTCTTCTCTCTCATCCCTGTGGTATATCTCAACCTACGTCTCCCTCTCAATCTACACACCATGCACCTTGGAGGCTCAACTGCTTTCTTCATAGCTTGGCTTGCCAACTTCAAACTCCTGCTCTTTGCCTTTGGCAAGGGTCCTTTATCTGACCCATTTCTCTCTCCTCCCCTTTTTATAGCACTTGCTTGTCTCCCCATTAAAATCAATGAAACCCCTTCTCCAAAACACTTAAAAGACCATAATAAAGAAAACACGTCTCCCAAAACCTCCCAAAATGACCATAGTGAACAAAACCCATCTCCCAAAACCTCCCAAAAAGGCCTAAAACCAATTTGGAATTATGCTATAAAGTTTCTATGTATAGCTATTTTGCTCCGTTTGTATGGTTATAGTGAGCATTTACATCCAAAGGTCTTATGGTTTGTCTATAGTCTCCATATATACTTAGGTTTGGAAACATTACTAGCCCTAGTGGCAGCCCTGGCTCGAGCCCTGTTGGGCATGGAGCTTGAGCCACAGTTCAATGAACCCTACCTCTCAACCTCTCTCCAAGACTTCTGGGGTCGAAGATGGAACATAATGGTGACCCGAATTCTACGCCCGACTGTTTACGAACCTGTGCTCCATACTTCATCTCGTGTCATGGGCCGAAAATGGGCTCCACTTCCTGCCATTTTCAGCACATTTATGGTGTCCGCCATAATGCACGAGCTTATATTTTATTACTTGGGTCGTACATGGCCCACATGGGAAATCACAGGGTTCTTTTTGCTCCAAGGTGTCTCTTTGATGGTTGAGGTTGCAAGCAAGAAGGCCTTTTTCGTCCGGTGGCAGTTGCCTTGGATCGTCACGGCCCCATTAACTATAGGGTTCGTGATGGTTACCGCATTTTGGCTGTTTTTTCCTCCGTTTTTGAGGTGTAAATCAATGGAAAGAGGCTTTGCAGAGTACGCAGCAATGGGTTCATTTGTTAAAGATGTGGGCACGGCTTTAACGTCCAAGTATCTCAACAATGTAAGAACAGTTTAGGATTTGTTGTTACACCTCGTATCACCATAAAAATAGGTGTTTTTTCCACTTTTCTTTTCAGGGGCTTATTTATCGTAATTTAAGTCAATCTTGTTGTATAATGAGAATTCGAATAGAGAATTAGTGATATATAAAATTGGAGTTGGCTTATTTGGACTAAGATCTTACAAAAAATCGTATGAAACTCACGATCCCAAAAGGTCCTCATTAAGTTTGGTGGCGTTTGTCAAGGATAATTAATGATTTCTCTGGTGGTTATTGGCAACAAAATGCCCAAAGTTATATGTTTGTCCACGTGGGCGGATCTCATATTTTTTTATTAACTAATTGATGGACACGTGCGTTACATGTAAATTATTTTAGACGATAAATAAAATTACACTGTACAATTTCAATCTATGGGACACCTTCAAATATCTAACTTACATACAATAAAAAATTTATAACTCAAATCTCTAATAATGGTTTACATTGCTTGCATTCTCTTACCAAAGAAATATAATCCCACACAACACCCATTAATAAATTTGAATGACTTGAAGTCTCAACGTAAAATAATGAATAGCAATTTGAATGACTAGAAGTCTCAACTTAAAATAACAAATAGCATTGGACCTATTGAAAAAAGAATAAATTGGATGGCATAATCGAATCAAATACTCACATTTAGCATAAAAATACAATGTCCTTGTTGGTAGACTGATGGAACAAGATAATATTGTAATACACTCGATTGTTTAATACTGATAACACTGATCTATGCTCAAGGAACATCAACTTCCATTACTTTGACATAAAAGTGTGTTCCCTAGCTAGAAACAATGTTACCAACATAGAATCAGTCTAAAATAGAAGAATATCACAAATCCAACAAAAGGTGAATTGTTGGCCCCAACAACATAACAATAGTTCCTCTTCTTTTGCTATCCCAGCTAATGGAACCCTGCCTACCATTCTAGAAGATAATCAGGTAACTTCTATAAACATTAATACCCCCCCCCCCCCCACTTGCTGATAGCAATGTCATTCTGTTACCCTCTCTTAACAATTTCTTTGTCCTTGAAATGAAAACGGGGCAATTAATTGTCAAACTTCCATCTAACCCCTCTTCCAACTATGGCAAGCATATAGATGATAGTTGTGTGATTGAAGTTGTTGATACTAAATGCAAAACGATAGAAAACATTAAAAAGAAGAAAGACAAGAAAAAGGGTTCTGAAAAGAACAAAATTACGGGTTTTGAGCACCTTAAGCTTAGCAAATCTCTTTTGCAATGATCAAAGCGGCAAGCTGGAACATCAGAGGGCTCAACAAGACCTCTAGGCAAGAAGAAATAAGGAAGTTTATTAATTATAATCAATTGGACTTTATTGGGATTTTGGAAACAAGAGTAAGACAAGTTACTAAGGCCTTCATTATGAGGCAAGTGTTTAGGGACTGGAGTTATGTTGATAACTATAATTGCCATACTTTGGGAAGAATTTGGGTAGCTTGGAATTTCAAATAGCTTACATGTCAGCAGAATTTCTAAGACAGATCAGATTATTCATTTTCATGTGCAGCATCTTGATAATAAATCATCTTTTTTCATCTCTGTGGTTTATGCATCTAATGAGGAGCATGATAGGAGGGATTTATGGAGGAACATCAAATACCATGCAGGTGTCTTTTGTTTTGAACCGTGGCTAATTCTTGGTGACCTTAACACCATCAGAAGTCTCAATGAAACTAAGGGTTGTTCAGGGAAATGGACCAATTCAATGGAAGATTTTGACACCTGTTTGCAAGAATATGAACTTGTTGATCTGAGATACTCTGGATTTCAATTTACTTGGTCAAATATGAGAGTTATGGGAAGCAGTATCTCAAGGAAACTTGATAGAGCTCTTGTCAATGAAGCTTGGAACAATATGATCCAACAGTTAAGTGCAGAATTTTTAGCACCTTGAGTTTCTGATCACAGTCTTGTTGTGGTCAAAATTGGGGAAGAAATCATAAAAAAGAGAACTCCTTTCAAATTTTTTAATTACTTGGTAGATAGAACTAACTTTCTTGAGATGGTCAATCAAGCCCGGGGTGTTTGGGATAATGGATCATTTCAATTCCAATTATGTTGCAGGCTCAAGAGATTAAAGGCTATACTTAAAGGTAAAAGCAAAGAATTAGGGGAAACATCTACTAGGGCCAATGAAGCCAAATCTACCCTTGAAATTTGTCAAGCCAAACTGGATGTCAGTCAAATTGATCTTAATATTAGATTGGAAGAGAGACACCTCCTTTCTAAATACCTTGAGGCTACTAGGAATGAAGAGATTGTCATAAAACGAAAATCTAGGATACAATGGTTGAATGAAGAGGATCTAAATACCTCCTTTTTCTTCAAATCTATGGTTGACAAGCGAAACAGAAAAAAGATTCTATCCTTGAAAACTGCTGAAGGTGTATAGGAGGTCAAAGATGAGGCAGTTGATTTTTTCCAAAGGCTCTCGGGCTCAAGTGGCCCTTCCTATTCATCCAATGAAAGAAGAGTAATGCTTTTTGAGATAGTACAAAAAAAACTCACTGATACACAAACTGCTGAAATGGAACTAAAGGTTATTTATGATGAAATTAAGAATACTCTCTTCTCCCTCAAGGATATGAAAGCTCCTAGGCCTGATGGTTACAATCATACTTTTTTAAAAAATCTTGGCCTATTATTGGGGATCTTGTATGTGCTGCTATTCAGGAATTCTTTACTACTAGAAAACTCCTCAAAGAGCTTAATACCACCATTCTGGCCCTTGTCCCCAAAATTCCCAACCCTAGCATCATGAGTGAGTATAGACCTATTTCTTGTTGTAACACCATTTACAAGGTTATTTCCAAAATTATTGCTTCTAGAATCAAAAGAATTTTACTTGATATTATCAATACAAACCAAGTTGCATTCATTCAAGGAAGAAGTATAGGGGATAACATTCTTTTAGCCCAAGAGCTTTTAAGGAACTACCATAATGACAAAGGTTCACCAAGATGTGCCATCAAAATTGATCTCATAAAAACATTTGACTCCCTTGACTGGAACTTCTTACTAGAGACTCTTGAAGCTTTTAATTTTCCTTGCAAGTTGAGGACGTGGATTCTTGCTTGCTTATCATCTCCAAGATTCTCTGTCTGTATTAATGGTGAACTTACTGGTTTCTTTCCTAGCAAAAGGAGAGTCAGACAAGGGGATTCCATGTCTCCTTACTTATTTGTCATTGCAATGGAGGTGCTTACCCTTATTGTACAAAAGAACATCTCTCTCCATCCTTAAGTTTCATTAGAGATGCAAGAAAATCAATCTCAGCCACCTTGCCTTTGCTGATGATCTTCTGATGTTCAGTCATGGTGACCTTGCGTCTGTTAAGGTCCTCCATCTTTTAATGCAACAGTTTCAAGCCATTTATGGATTGCAGATTAACCAGGGAAAAAGTTATATCTATCACTATGGAACTCAACCTCATGTCAAATCCCAAATCTCTCAACTTATGGGCCTGTCAAAAAGGGACCTCCTAGTAACGTATTTGGGCATTCCTCTCATCGCATCTAGACTCAAAAAACAACACTGTAAAGGTCTTGTGGAGAGAATCAGAATGAGAATTAGAACCTGGACTAATCGATTGCTATTGTATGCTGGTAGGCTTCAACTTGTGACTTCTATCATTAGCTCCATTCAAGTCTTCTGGTCTTCCCATCTTGCTTTTCCGCAATTAGTAATCGACAAAATTGAAAAGCTCATGAGGGCGTTCTTATGGAAGGGGGTTGATTTGAAAAAACTGGAGCTAAAGTGGCATGGACTGAGGTATGCAAACTTAAGGATGAGGTGGATTGAGCATTAAGAGACTCAAGGATTGGAATTCTGCCTGCATGCATTATGCTTGCAATTGCATCTGTTCCGATGATCATATCCCATGCTTGCCTCTGCTTTCACCATGAGATCCAACTTTAGCTGCATCATCTCTAGGTCTCAATGATGCTAGCCCAACGCCTCTTCTCCTGCTTTGGCCAGGATTGTTGATTCTATGTCTACTTATTCCCCCAACCATCTTGCTGATGACAAAGTCCTATGGTCTCTCACTGCAAATTGTCGATTTTCTACCACTTTTGCTTGGCACTACATCAGAGAAACTGGTCAGAAAATTCCTTGGTCGAAGCTTTTTTGGCACACACATCTCATTCCCAGGATGAGCTTTATTTTATGGCTAGCCATTAGGCAAAGATTATATACCAAAGACAAAGCTCATTCTCTTGCCAATCAAGTGGATTTAGGATGCATCCTTTGCAAACAATTCCCCGAGTCTCATGCTTATCTCTTTTTTGAGTGCACCTTCTCCATGGTGTTTGGAGATCCATTCTCACTAGCAGCCAAACTCAGTGGTCTCCTTCTCCTTGACACTCCTTCATTAATTGGGTTGCTATCAATTAGAGGGGAAAATATATGCTCTCTGTCATCCTTAAGTTTAGCCTTGTTTCTACGGTTTATCATATATGGATGGAGAGGAACTTCAGAGTGTTCTCTATCCAATTCAGGGATCACAACTCTTTAATTCAAGTCATCAAACAAGCAATCAAGGACAAACTCATGTCTACTAAATTCAAGTACTCCACCCAGAATCTTAGGATGGTGCATCTTTGGGATCTTGCTCTCAACTGCTTAGCATAATTCCTTTTGAGGACTATTTTTGTAAAACCTTAGGACTTGAATTCTTAGGGAAGTGTTGAGTATCCTCTTTACTTCCCTCTAAATTCTGGTCTTTCTTCTCTATTTTGTTGGACAATATTAGTTGTACTTTTGTTTGCTCATGTATAACTTATTTTCAATACAATCCTTACCTTTCGGAACATAACAATAGTACGATGCTTTGCTTGATGTGTGAGTCCCAATAGCATAACAATTCAATACTTACTCAATTATCCCCCTTGGCTAGGACCTGAAATGAAACAAAAGGTAAATTGTTTTTGAACTGAAAATAAGTGTATGTAATTACATTCATAATTAAAGAAAAATACAAAATAAAGAATAAACCTAACTAATAATTGTGTAATTTTCAAAAATTATGGATTTCGTGAAATTGAGAAAAAACTCTTTAAGCATTGGTAGAAATCTTTTCCCATGAAAGTACTAAGCATTTACTTGTAGATCAATAAAAGGACTGCATAATAGCCCAACAATGATAGTTTCATATCACAGACAACTAATATAGACATTTTTGCAAGTTATCATTTATCAAAGATAAAAATAAAAATGGGTATATACCAACATAAGACCAAAAAAAAAAAACATGCTGACTGCATCTCCAAATTTTACAAGCACTTAAGATGATTATAGAATCCAGACCAAAAACCCAAACAGATTATCTAAAGAACATTCTATTTTGTATATAAAGTTTTTGCCAATAGAGAGATAAAATGGAGAGAATATATAGATTTCACCTCTTAAAGTCTCAAGGCAAAAAAAAAAATTGATGTGAACTATCTACAAACTGCAGTAGTCAAGGGATTTAAACATTACCAGTCCACCTCAGTGTTTTGAAAAGCTCGCCTAGGCGAGAAGCGAGACGAGGCGAGCTTATCTCACCTGGAGGACCCCAGGCGAAGCGAGAAAAAAGCGAAAAAAAAGCGAAAAAGCGAACGCTTTATTATAAAAAGCGATTCTGCTTCACTTTTTTTTTTTTTTTTTTTCTGATTACAGGTTAGTAGTCTCTTTTATTTTTCAATCACTAATGACTTTTTTTTTAGACTATTGCTAGTCTATTTTTTTTTTTTCTAATAAACAATGTTTCGAACAAAACACATTCCTTTTTTTTCCTTATGCTGAATTTATTTAGAATATTTGTGGGATGTGGGAGTCAAGCGACTGCACTGCATGACAATTATGATAAAAAAAAGGAAACAGAGTATCAGAAATGAGGGTAAATAATAGATTCTTCTACAAAAAAGTGTCTCTGATATGTCTTGATTATACTTTTCCCTTTTCTTATATATATACAAATGGTACCAAAAAGTGGTCTATGCTTATACCATGTTTAATTATTTTAGTACATGTAAAATGTGTCTCTGTTTTGCTTTTTTTTATTCAGTATATAATTACATATAAAATTGTTTAAAATTGATTCTGCTCCTATCATGATCATTGTGCTTCTGTTTTTTTTTTAGCTCATTCTGCTTCTATTTTTTTTTTATTCTGTTGCTGCTTCGATTTTATTGTCCTGTGTTGCTTTTATTTTTTTTTATCCTCATTCTGCTTCTTTTTTTTTTGTTGCTAATTCTGTTGTTGTCCTGATTCTGCTTCTTTTGTTGTCCTACCCTGTCAATATGAAAATGTATACAATTGTTAGTATTTGTTTGAATTTAAATGTTTAAGTTATGACTGTTATTAAGATTTGAGATATTATTAGTATTTTTTTAATTTAAATGTTTATGATTTTACTTGCATTTAAATATTTAGTATATATAAAATTAGAACTTAGATTGTTTAGAAGTAATTAAACTAAAATATATATATTTTTTTAACTGTTCGCTTTGCTTCGGTAAAGCGTGTCGCTTCGCTTCTCGCTTCTCGCTTCTCGCCTAGGCGTTAGGAGTCTTGGTCGCTTCGGTTCGCTTTACGCCTTAAATAACACTGGTCCACCTTTCCTCTAGCCTTGTTAATAATCAGCTCATACAAACTTTGTTGCTGAAATTCCATTAACCACAACAACAAAAAAAAAAAAAAAACATAAACATGCAAGTTAGTGCAAATCAACCATTATTGATGAAAAATGTAATTGAATAGGAACTATAAGATTATCTTACATGAGGAATGATAAGATTTTCTTCACATAAAGCAAATTCTCCATTGAAGTTGTCCGGATCTCACAAAACGTAGGTGCAAGTTGCTGCTGGACAGCCCGAAGAAACTCTCATATGGAAACGCTTTTACTAACCTGAGATACTAAACCTGCAGAATTGCGAAGACAAAAAGGTTAAGAAGAATAAAAATAAAAAAAATACTACAAACACAAAGAAGAGAGAGACTAACAAGACACCACAAATATGACCATTTTCCTTGGATCACTCACCTATGGCCTGCCCCATCCCAGTAGCTGTAAGTGATTTCAAGAGGCTCATCCAAAAAGTTATAGCAACATAAAATTAGAACCTAAGTAAACATCACCAATTAAACACTTGTTAATTATTTTTATTTTTTTCGATAAATAGTAAATTAATTAACATTGTACCCCATATATGCAACAAATCAACCCTTGGACTCTATTCACATCTAAAGAGCATGTGTTCCACAACCTCATTAATATTATCCACACATTTGAAATGTGGGGTATTTTAAGCATTTTCGAACAAGGTTGCTAGTGTCGCCAAAGAATTCCAACATGCCTACTACTGAGAAAAAAGGCATAATTTTGGAGGTTCATTTCGATTCAATATAAAAGGCCACAAGTGTTGTAGTACTAACAGGAAAACACAGAAATTGATGTAGAAGCAATATAAGGGAACACGATAAATGGTCAGTAGATTTCTAAAAATATTTGGAAGTCTAAATAGAGAAGACTGATAGCCTTGATATTGGAAGACAGACTTGATAAATCATGACACACACCAACAAGCATAACAACTCAAATAAACCATCCTACACACCATAATCTACATACACAATGGATTAACTAAAATGAGCAGGTAGTGGATAAATACCTAAGACACAAGTCTTGGCAAATGTGATTCTTAATGATAGCTCTAATAGTCTACTGGAGCCTCTTCACTCAGGATATATAAAGAAGAATATATGATCATAAACTTGAATGTTACTAATTATTACAAATTATAACAAAAATGACAATCTGTAGTTTAAATTCCAACTTACTGTTTGGATGAAACATTTGGGAGATAAATTCCACTGTTGGTGGTTTATTCGGGTAGTCCTCTATAAATTGACATGTCAACTTGAAAGTACCTGGAAGCAAACAATATATATTAGTATAATGTTAAATACAAATGAGGACCAAGGGTAGGGGATGGATGTTTGAAAGGCAGACAAAGAATAGAAAAAAGTCCATGTTGGGCCATGCCTAAACTACTTCTGCAAGCTTTTCCATTAGAAGCACATTTTAGTGTACCACATGCCATAACCAAGTACTGATTGCCCACATAGATTAATTTCATGTCAACTGTGTAATAGGGTGATATCTTACAAATTTTACTCGAGATAAACATTAAGAAAAAGGAAGATACATTGCTATTGGTGCAACCGAACACTCACACAAGCATTATTACCGCATGTGCCAATGAATGTTCCAGTATTTTGGTCCAGAATTGTAAGAATGGTGAAAGAAGTCCCCTGTATATAGAAAGGCCACACTGGTTCAAGATTTATAGAAAGCAATTTGGGATAAGGAATGATAATCACAACCACCAAAAAAAAACAAAAGAGAACAAATCATAATAGGCGGAAAAATGTATATTCCCAAGAATGCAAGTCGTTAATTAATATTGCAATAGGGTTTTCACATCCTTATTCTTCTTGTGTAGGTTAGGCATATGATCAACATATAAAAAAAAATCCCAATGAATTGCATCAGTCAGCATTTTCTTTGAATAATAAACCTTCAATTCGAGAATAGTCTCACCTCCGTCCAAAGAGTATCCTTCGGACTGCAGGGAACAAGAATTTTGAAGTTAGAGGAACCAATAAGAAACCACAATTACTCACAAAGCATGCCACATATAAACTATCATTTATATACATGTCCTCGTTTAGTGCAGTCCCAACTTTCTCAAGGTTCTGTTTAAGACAAACAAACATCATCATTAACAGAGCCAAGTTTAATCAGAATGGTCCACAAAAGTTGGAAACTTCATAAGGTATTATGACATTTGTTCTTAAGAACTAAGGCAAAAAATTAAATAAATTGTGAATAGCTAAAAAGAGTTGCGCCTAAGTTGATAACAGTTGGAAAAACAGCCAGAAAACTATGTGATCATCGTTTTAACAAAACAGAAGGTAAATCCCCAAATAAATTGCATCGGAAATTTTACATCATAGTTGGAGATGAAGTAGAGATCAATTAAACAAAAACAAATGCTTTCCACAATTGACACTTGACAGTAAACACGAGGTATCTATATAAGAAACCCCAAAAAGAAATAATTGTTACCTGTGATTTGTCTTGCCTTGTGGAACTAGCCTCAAGAGAAACAACGCAACCCTGTGACGGAGATATGTAATCATTTGAGTCCCCTAGTCTCAACGTGGCCAAGAATTTGTCGGGTATCCCTCCCCCCCCCTCTCTCTCTCTCTCTCTCTCTCTCTCAATGTATATATATATATATATATATATGTATTTGTTTGTGACTTCCGACGAAAAAACTGAAATCTTTGCGTTCTTGTGTAAAGGATAAATACAATAGTTGATTCCGAAAGGATCGATTTTGATAGTGAAATGTTAAAATTGCAGGGTATTAACAACTATGGAGATTTTTGTTTGAAAATTAATGAGAGAAGATCGTAGTCGTAATAGGGTTATTCGGGACGATACGAGGCAGTGGAGAACTGAAGAGCTCAGATGGAGAAGGTGAACAGAGGGTTGTTAATGGACGATTTGTCAGTTCATAGGGGAGAGGGAGAGGGAGAGGAGAGAGTGAGGGATGGAGTAACTAATGGAAATGGATGGTTTCCGTTGAGGTGCTGGGCAATTTTTGAAGAGAGAGAGCAATGGTTGGGAAAAGGAGAGAGAGAGAGGCAAAAGACGGGTGAGAATTGTGAAGACACAAGGGAGAGAAAGAGACACGGTTGAAAAAGGAGAGAATGGGAGAGAGGTACTTAGGGTTTGTGTGCCATTTAATATGATGGATACGAAGGATATAATGACATTGTTGGAGGGTAAAAATGAAAAACAATGTTTTCCACATATGTTTACTTTTTAAAGAAATATAAATTATTTAGTTATATCTATATAATAAAATATGATTGTGTTTAATTTTTATTTCAGTCATATTTTTTTCTTTAAAATCATCATCAATCACTTATCTCATCTATCATCTATTTGTCAAATTCAAACGTCAAATCGCATCACTTATTTCTATCATATATTTAATCATTTATATATTTATTCCCTAAAAATATTATATCACTCATTTCTATCATATATTTAATCATTTAATATTTGATTAATTTGTAATTAATATATTTTTAAAAAAATTAATATAATGAGATCCATTTTTTAGATGCTCGAATTTTATATTTTGTTATGCCTTCAGGCACAGATTATGACTAGTTTTTAGATATAATAAATTGTGTCCACCATTAAAATTGACTTTGATTTGTTTATTTGCTAATTCTTTGATTTTAAGATCACAATTCAATTTTAAATTGTTTGTAATATGACCTTCGATTGATTTTTAATTTTATAAGATTGATGATTAACTTGTTTCAATTGAATTCTAGAGCGACGTTTACTCTTATTTCTTTAATTTTTATTTATTTATTTTTTAATTCCTATTCAATTCTTCAAATTGATGCTCAATTGGAAATATATTTTATTTATTATATCTCTATACGTGTGTGACTCAATTGTAATTAGTGGTTGATTTCAATAGACCATTTGGTAAAATGTAATTTATTTAGTAATGACAATTTTTTTTGCATTTATAATTTTTTTTGATGTTTCATATTTATGAAATCTTTTTTATGGATGGTTTAAATTTTAATAGAGTTTAGAATTGTTATGTGTACTATTTTATTAACATACATAAAATTATAGTCATCTTTGTAGAAGCCAAAGGTCATTAATTAGTTAATGTTATAGAGGTGGGCCTAGTTAAAAGTTCCATCTTTAAACTAATTTCTGGTTCTGCCCGGCCAGCCCGAAAATGTGATTCAATCTTAGAATGCACAAATAAAGGCAAGCATAAATGGTAGTCATTGTGTTGTAAAGATTTTTCTTTCCTGAGATTTAGAATTCAAGTCTTTTTCTCCCTTTCCCTCTCCAAAAAAGAGAAAAATAAATAAATAAATGTATGACATCAAAAAGTATTTTTTGTGGTACCCAAATACAAAATATATTTTTGTAGGCTAAATTTCAAATTTTTTGGAGTTTAATTTTTTGGAATGTGTAAAATCGATCGCAATATTTTAGGATCAATCTTAAAATGCAAGAATTTATCCTAAACACTATCAAACATTTTAACTTGTTCTAAAATTATTGTAACCTGACCTAATATTCATATTTTGTTGGATCAATCCTAAGATTTTAGGTTACTTTCTTGTTGTAATTTAACCCCTATGCATTACATTTTACTGAAAAAATGATAACCTTGGGTGTTAAAGTCAAACCCGAAGACATCCAAGCAAAGATAATTTTGGACAAAGAACAAAGCACTCCAATCTTATTTATAAACCAAGATGTATGCTTTGTGACACAGCTTGATGAAAAGGTGTCATGTTTTACCGTTATCTTTTGTCTTTTGTCTTTTGTCTTTTTTATTTTCTATTTCTGTTCGTTTTAATAAAAAAAGAAAATATTTCACCATTTTTTCTCCCCAAAAATGTTTTGACCATGGGTTGCAATAGACTGAGGTAGCCCGGCGGGGGAATCAAGTGGAATTTCGAAATAACTGTGGGCGGGTGCTAAGCAGCCACAATAATAATAATAATAATAATAACAATAATAATAATATATTTATATTAATTAAATAGCAAGATCATATAGACTTTGCATTTGGGTGTCCATGGGCCGAGTCAAGTCAGTGAAATTTTTTTTGAGCCGAACTTGGGTAGTGTAAGCCCAAGCCCTTATCCAAGTGAGATACCGGGCCGGACTTTGGGTAGGGATAGGTTACCCGCAACCCAACCCGTGATCCTATTGGGCGGGCCTATGGGCGGGTCTATTTGCGGGATTTTTTATATACATCTTTATTTACAAATAATGAATATTTTTGTAACTTAATATTTGTGTAAATTATATTTTTGAATCAAAAGTTAAAGTCAAAATAGATAAAAATAAAATAATAAACTATATATCATTGAATGAATAAATCACAACTAGGTTGACACCTACTAACTTATTTGTCATTTGTATTACTCTACCATTTAAAACTTATATACTTAATACATGGAAAAAAAATAATGCATTATTTATAACATCTAAATTTTAAAATTTCAAATTTCTATATTGAGAGACTTATTTCAAATTTTAAATTTTAAATTTAATGGTCTAAAAGTATAACTTTTTTGAAAGAAGGGTAGGTTGGGTTGGGCTTGTAGGCGGACTCTTAGGCCGGGCTTCGGGTCGGGTAATGAGTTTGGGGGCAAACCCGAACCCTCTTTTTAAGTATATTGGGCTCGGGCTCGGGTGGGTCAACTATCGGGTCTATCGAGTTTCGAGCCAAGTAACGGGATCCGTGGATAACTCAGCCCATGGACACCCCTACTCTGCACCATAGGATATTTTTAGTCAAAAATACTAAAAATTAATTATCAAGACCTATCATATTAAGTTCTTCACTATATAGGAAATATCTATTGCATATTTATTGTGATATAGTCCTATTAAAAAAGTCTTAAAGGTTAATAATATAAATATTTTTGACTCTCTTAATAATAAAAAATTGACACAATGGCCGGATAGTTTTTATCTTTATTCATCTAATTTATTAGACCCGTTTAGGTTAAAAAAAGTTAAACTCAGACCCTGTTTTTATGTCTATCTCCCACCGAAGGTGCAAAACTTCGTAGCAGGCCAGCTGGGCAGTGGTTGTGCTACCTTTGTCATCAATCCATTAATTAAGAGGTCAATTGTAATAAGTGGTTGATTAAAAAATGGTTGTTAAAGATTTTGGTGATGTCGCCCTGTTAAAAGTCCAAAAGTGGTGGTATTGATGAGTAAATTTTGGACAAATTGAATTAATAAGCCAGTGTAATTTTTTTAAACTTCAATTTAATACTTATGCCTCTTTTTTTATTGGAGATGAAAGTGTAATATATTTACCGAATTCCATTGTATAGATTTGACTTGTCCCCGTTGCTGAATTTAGAGTATTGAAACATTAGTAGTGATATTATTTGTCCATATCTATATCTATACTACTTTAAAATATCAGCATACATGAAAAATATTTTTTTTCTACTTTTATCCTCCAATACTATAATTATGTCATATTTATCCTCCAAATTTATTCTTATAGTGAATATCAATATTTACTGTACATTGATTAGACCAATTATTGGTTAAAATTTGATCCAACTTTACGTCTTCTAGATCAACTGCAAACCAGATGCTACCAACTCTCACAATAAATTCTCAATATCCCATCATCTACTAGCTCTCATCTTTATAACAAAAGGTGGATAACATCAACTCACACACAGCGAATATTGTTGTGCCCGACAGTGGAGTAGAAGCATAGTTCATTATATTGAAAGAATCGTGTTTGTTGAAAATTTGTAGTTTTCCTAGGATTTTGACTCACACATCAATCGCTTAGAACATAAGCTCCGTTGTGCTGAAAAGAATTATTGTGGAGCCTACTCCATCTCCGCATGTGGCGACACCAATCGCTTGCCGTCCTTTATACAACTAGCCCTTTCCAATCCGTCATCGCCTGCGTTAACTTCTCTATTGGTACACATTCTTATATTATACGTAATGTATCTGAATGTTATTAAGTGAAAATTTATGGCAAATCTATGATTTAGTAGTTAATTTTCGTTTTTCTTTTGGGTTTGGGGGGGGGGGTTGTGTGATTTGTTGTGGAATAAGGGGTTTGTGTGATTTTGGCAGGTGAATTACATATTTTAATCCTCTGTTTAATGGTCTCTTCAGAATATGACATGTTACTCAAAAAACAATTGGGTGCTTGATAATTTGAAAAAATGTTCCAGTCTATTTTTCCTTTTTTCTTATATCTTTTCAACAATTAAATAGAGCATTGAGGCTATAATAAGAGGTCAAACAATGTATTGTTGCTCTATTTTTTATTGGATGTTAGGATGCTAGACTTGAGCTGCAATTTATATAATTCGGTGTGTATACCATCTTATGCAGAATTGTTTCTTAGGTTGATGCATACCCCTAAAGCAGACTTATCCAAACTCATTGCATGACAATCCTGCATACTCTGTTGGTAAGTAAGTAATTTTGGATATGATGTAATTGTATGTTAAACAGCTTTAGCATTTGCCACATGAGAATTTTGATTTGCATTGATCAATGGGAATAAACTTGTTTTTGCTGGGCAGTATTTTGTCAATGACAATGATACTAATGCCCAAAAGGTTAGTTTT